GATTCATCACTGGAGCCAGTACAAATCAGGCTGGATGCCGTTGCCACACGCTCATTCAAGTGCTACTTCCAGGGCCGCAATTTTTCAAACCTGCATTGATACCTAATGCTCATGGAAGAGGTGTTAAGAAATGAAAAGAAAGAGGGAGAGGTGGGGTGGGGGGGTAGGGGGAGGAGGGGAGCAGACAGAAAAGAAGAGGGTGAGGAAAAAAGAAACACAGACAGAGTTACAGGGATAGGTAGAGGTCCCGGCAGAGGGAAAGACAGACTGTAGGCAACGCACAAGATGGAGAGAGACAAAGGACAATATGTTGCTTGGGTTTATTAGGGGGAAAAAATTGCCTGTAATAGAAGCACTATTTCTTAATCAAAGCTTTATTAAGTTTTGGTAATGAAAAGCTAAGTGGTTTTGTGTAGGCGAACACATACAAGGGCAACATTTTCAGTACGGGGAAATTGAAGTAGGGTTTGTGCACGTGTGAGCAGAGCAGGGTAACAGATGCCATGAAAGGAATGGGATTTGGATTAGTCAGTCCTAGCCCCTGCACCTATACAAAGGACCCTTGAATGGGCAATGCTTTTTTTTTTTTTTTTCATTTTTGGCATCCTAAATTGTAATACAAGTCTAGGATGTCCAAGCTTATTTTGCCTACTGTCACTCAGGAATGGACAGAGACAAGAGATGTCTTCCAGTGCATTTCCATCTCCTGCCATCCACCTATCCTACACTGGCTTCTCATGTAGTAGCTACTGGATGGAACAGAGAGCAGAGAGCTGAGTGACATAAAATTGTCCTCTGCAACCCAGATGCTCCTTCCCTCTCTTTTTGTTGCTAAGGTGGGCAGGCTCCCAGGTCCTTGGTCCTGCTTTCCCTGATACTGGTAGGCATTGCCTCCAGCCAGTCTCTGTACCCATTAGGTACAGAGAGGATCTTATCAGCCTCAAATTCCCAAGCTCACCCAAGTTTATCACCACAGAAGCACTGACTACCCCCAAGGTAGTAGATAAGTCCTCCCAGCTTTATTTTGACTGAAGAGCGCTCTTCCTTTGTGAAGCAATTCAGAGATATATTACCATGCCTACTTATATATGACCAACAAGCATCAAGACCACACTAATCACTGGCCAAAAAGATTATGCCTCTAAGAACAAGGTTCACATGATGTTCACACAAACATTCCCAGATACCCGTGCCAGACAGTAAGGGTTTGAATTTTAGGCAGAAACGAACTTCTTGAATTTAGATTCAGCTGAAAACAAACTCACTTGGGATCCAAATTGACAGGCATTCCATGTCAGGTCTTAACTATGCATAATGACCATACAAAGCAACTAGAGTATTCTGTGACACTCACCTGCCCCATAGCAACCCCAGCCCAAATGGAGCCGTACCATCCTTAGCCAGACCCTCCATGCCATGGGATACTTTGGTTAGGCTGGTGGAACAAAGATGGTGACTACCTGGTGTTCTGTTACTACTCCTCCCCAAAGTCATGACAAACTTTGTTATTTAAATACCTTTCCTGCTGAGCTCAAATATGATCTCAGAATCCTTCCATCCACACATGGGAGTTGGCACTTGTAATGGAACCTATTTGCCCTCCTTGTTCTAAGATCCTCTAGATCTTTCGAGCCTGTTCCCTCATGGGACACCTGGGTAGTTGACCAGGTGGTTGAGTGTCTGCCTTTGGCTCAGGGCATGATCTTGGGGTCCTTGGGATCAAGTCCCACATCTCGTCTCCCTGCGAGGAGCCTGCTTCTGCCTCTGCCTATGTCTCTGCCTCTCATGAATAAATAAAAGAAAAAGAAAAAAACCTGTTACCTCCCAAGTAATTTCTGCATATCTAGAAGTGACTTTCTGCCATCGGTATTTTTCCTTCTTTTAAATCCACAGGAATGACACAAAAACTGGGGAATTTAAGATCAGTTATGAAAGAAGACTATTTCTATGACATACCAATCAGCTATTTGGAGAGAGGTCATCTGAAACCTGGAAAGGTCTTCAACTCATGTATTTGGTCAAATCTACATCAGTGATTTTCAATGGGAGGCCATTTTGACCTCCCAGGGCACATTTGGTGCTGTCTAGAGACAATTTTGTTCATTATAACTGGGAGTGCTACTGACATCTGGTGAGTCAAGGTGAGAGATGCTGCTAAACATTTTGAAATGCACAGAACAGTCCTCAACAACTAAGAAATATCCAGTCCAACATTGTAAGAATGCCAAATTTTGGAAACCCTGATATAATTAACATGGAGTATTCAGTGGTAGAGAGAACATTGGGGAAGCTCTCATCCAACTCTCTGATGTTATAAAGAACCTAAGATCCAGACAAAAGTTTATGGACAACTAAGCAGGATTAATATATAACACCACGCACCCTTTTAATATGACAATAAAACCTGTTTTATATGTGGAGGACAGCAAGTTTTCAGTTCCCTAACTGTCTATTAGTATAGTTAAATAGAGATCAAAACCACAAATGTTAAGATCGTTTGTTTTATGTGTGTGTTGTTGGGTTTAGGTAGTAGAAGGCAGTACTGCCATTTTTATACATGAAAGTATCTTTCATTTGTTTTATTCATTCATATATATTCATTTAGAAATCATCCATTCATTTTAATGTTTAGTCCACAAATTTATATCAAGCTTTTCATTGTACTGATGCAAATAATTAATCTAAAAGGTGACCCATGCCTGCAAAAGTTTGCCATCACCTGGCAGAGATGGACATGAGTGATTCCACCACAGTGGACATGATGCTGAGATGGGAGAGCCTCTGGGAACTTAGAGGAAGTCCTCCAACCCAGTCTTGGAAGGCAGGGAAAGTTGGTGTTCTTTTTCTTTTTTTTTTTTTTTTTTAAGATTTATTTACTTATTTTAGAGAGAAAGAAAGTGCGGGCAGTGGGAGGGGCACAGTGAGAGGGAGATAGATAATCAAGCAGATAATCTTTTGAGCAGATACCCCAACCTGGGGCTCAGTCTTAGGACCCTGAGATCATGACTTGAGCTGAAATCCAGAGTCAGCCTCATAACTGACTGAGCCACCCAGGTGCCCCAGGGAAAGTTTTTTCAGAGGAAAGGTCTGAATTGAGCTCTGAAGGCAAAGTAGAAGTGAGAAACTATCAAAGTTGATCCTCTCCCACAGCATGCTCAGTTTGCTAAGGACAGCCAGTGTGTTGAAAACCTGAGCCTGAATTAGTACTTTCACTGCTTTTTGGTTTTCCCTAGGTCCATGCCTGGTGCTTCATATGGAAATAGTTGATAATGGGCATGTGCCTGCTTTCAGATTTCTTTGGTTGGTTTTTTTTTTTTTTTTGAATATTTTTATTTGTTTATTTGACAGAGAGAGAGAACAAGCAGGGAGAGTGGCAGGCAGAGGGAGAGGGAGAAGCAGGCTCCCCACTGAGCAGAGAGCCTGATGCAGAGCTCAATCCCAGGACCCTGGGATCATGACCTGAGCCAAAGGCAGACACTTCACCGACAGCCACCTAGGGTACCCCTGCTTTCAAATTTCTACACATGGTAGGTCCATTGTGTATCAGAACACTTGGACACTTGACTCTAAGCCTACAGGCTGAGGTGTATGTGTGCGTGTGTGTGTGTGTGTGCGCGCGCGCGTGTGTAGAAAAGGAGATCAGTCTTTTTCCACTTTAAGGGCTCTCTTCTCTATCCGAGAGACATAAAGGCCTCTACCACCTAGACTGGGCTAGGGGACACAGGAGAAAGCCACTTTCCCAAGGCACTGTATTCACAGACTGGCTCACCCAGCCCCTCTCAATTCCCTTACTTCCTGCATCCCAGAATTCTTCGGGCACCAAACACCTGGTCTTATCACCAGGAGTGTCAGGGTGGGCAGGTAAATAGCAAGAACCAAGATGCCAAACCTGAGGTGAGTTCTGTCTTAACCTGTCCATAACCTGCAGGTAATACTTCCCCTTATGCCTATCTCAAGGGCTATGACCTCTCATTCTTCAGTCTTCCAACCTGTGCTAAATATCTTCATTCCACCTGCAGGACAGGTCCTGTGTATTGTAGCAAGTTCCAGTTGAACAAATGAAGTTGAGATTTCATTTCTTTTTTTTCTTCAGCCTACAACAGGAAAGTGCTACAGTGATATAGCTCTTTTTCTGTGCTTATAGTTGACAGAGATACACGGTTGGGGGGAAAGGGTGTTTTTATTTTTATTTATTTGTAAGTTTTATTAAAGTTCACCTATTACCCACAGGCCTCAGGCTCCCTATAGAGAAACAAATATCACAATCGAAGGAAGTGGTTTCCAAGGTGCCAAATTAAAATAGATGAAGAGGTAAGGAGGGAAAAAAATAAAAACATTACGCAAAGACTTCTTCGTTCTTAAGCACATGGTGTTTTCTATTATATTGCACACACGAAATTGACTTCCAATGTAATTAGACCAGAGCTACTAGGCAAAAAAAAAAAAAAAAAAAAATCCTCAAATTATTCAGACCCCCAGAGCTATTCTTTTGCAATCACTCAAGAAACTGAGAAGAGAGCCAACTTTTTAATATAAATTTGTTATTAGAATCTACACTGTCCAAATGATTTCCAACACCCCACCTGCCTGAGAACACAGATTCATGAACTGGTGTCAGAACCAAAGGTAAGAGTCCTACTTCCCACCTGCCTGGTGCCATCACCTTTTCTTCTATAAGACAATCTTACTGGAAATGGGACTTTATTCCAACAATGCTTAATGGCCCACTGGTCTTTGTTAGAAGGAACTGGAGAGTTCCTCAGGTCTGCAGAAGACTGTTCTGATGGCATTATGTATAGGCATGGCCTCATGGACAGACATCAACTCTGTCTTTGCAGCCTTGGGCGTGGAACATCCATAACATTCTCCACTTCACCTGCAAAGACCCAGGAATGGCTTTATTGCCTTCCAGGTTGAAAATGAGACATGGAGCTACAGAGAACATCTTTCACTGAACTCATAGGGGAAAGAAATAACCACTTTTCAAAAGAGGTGCTTACTGGATTTCAGCAATGCTGCCAGAACTTCAGTGGCTGCCCTGGGGAAAGAGAAAGAAAAGTAAAAGTCAATATTCAATGGTCTTTTTGTCAGCCCATGGATCCCAAAGCCAGCAGGCTCATTGCTGCCACCTAACAGCCCCATTATTAATCAGAGAGCAGGCATTCTATTGATTGCACCACTGACTATTAAAGAGGCATAAATGCAGAATTGCTCCAAGCAAAGTGTCTGTCTTGAAAATGGGTCACAGGAGTCCCACTGTTGCTGAAATTATCTCCCCCCTCCCCATCTTGCCTCCCACCTTCCACTACCTTCCTTATACTATGCTCCTTATATTTCTGTTACTCATCCCTGCCAGAGCTCTTGTCCATCTCTTGGTTTATAATTGAGAATCCTGGGAACTCTGGAGGATGGGCTGGGAGGGGGTGGGACATGGAGGCTGAGTGAATGCAGCATTGCAGTGTAAACTCCTTAAAACCTTCATGCCCCTGGGGATACACAGGAAAACATTCACACATTGGAAAGCCATGCTGGTTCCTTAGGGAGGTAGAGAATGGTTATGTCATGATTTTTCTTCCAAATTCATTGTTTTCTTCCATGGAAGAATTTCACGACCTTTGCAGCAATGGGAGACAGATAAGGATGAAAATGCCTTTGACCCATGTCTTAGCGACCCTTCAGCCTAGGCCTTGAGCCATTGAATGTCATGCAAAGACCCACTTACTGGATGGAGGAGAACTTCAAGGTATCATGAAGGACATGATGGTGTGATCCTGTTTATCTCTGTTTCTGTTTTTGTTTTAAGAAAAGGAGTATTCTACATGGTCCTAGTAGTTTATCCTCAAGGCCTGTTAGAGAGTGATTTGTTCTCCAACATACGCCCCCAATCCTCAAGGTCAAAAAGGTTGGGTCACCCCCCCAAGGTCAAAGAGAACAAGTCAAAGAGGCTGGGTCACCCTTCCAAGATTACAGACGTGTAAACAGAGTGGGACCCCCACCCAGGAACCTCACTTCCCACCTCTGCCTTCTGTACACCTGTTATTCTTCTGAGGCTCCCTCACTGGCCCTGCCCTGGCCTCTCCCTGGTTGATGAAAGACACTTTTCTTTGCAATATATTATCTAACATTAGGCGATAGAGCCAGCAATAAAAATAAAAATAAGAAGTTAAGTTAAACTAAAATTAAATAAAAATCTAGCACTTGAGATCTATGGCTTCCCACAACCAACAGAGGAGACTTGCAGAAGGAGCAGCCTGGAACTCATAAGCCCTAGTGCAAACCCACAGCCAGGATAACCCCTCTCATAGAGACTAGCACAACCACAGGGCAGTCATCAAAAAGGTGAAGCTAACTGTCACCATTTCATTTATCCTTCCCAATCATGTTTGCTTTGAATCACCTTTTGGCTTCTTCAGCCCCTCTCTTTCATAACCCCACCTAATCTGGCAACCATGGATTCAAGAAAAAACACATCGAAGGTGTTACTGGAAACCCCAAGACAGTGTGCCAAATCTAGGAGCCACAGTGCATAGGGCCTGGGCTGGTGCAAAAGGAAAATCAGTCCTGGGGGCATGAGGGGAAATAGAATAGCCACATTAAGAGGGTTAGTAGAGAAGGAAGCATGAAAAGAAAGAATGAGGGTATTCCAAGCAAAGTACCCAGGCTCGTCCTTGATCCAGGTCTATCAGGTGACCTTGCATTTTTGATTTGCACGGCAGGTTTGTTTTGGGGAGTTTGTCACAGAGCTAATGTTCCATTAAATAATAGTTTTACGAGGGACACACTAGAGGTGGGGAGGGGCAGGCAGACCAGTCAGGAGGATTTGAGGTAACAAGGGCTCCAGACAAAAGGGTAGTGTGGAGGGGAATGGAGAAAGATGGGTTTAATGGAAACTTGGAGCCTTGCTACTCATAGCATGGGGCTCCCACCAGCAGCTTCAAATGGAGCCAAGCAGAAATGTCAACTCTTAAGCCCCCTTCCTGTCCTGCTGAATCTGAACTTTTATGCCAACAGATCACTCATATGCATGTGGATGTTGGAGAATAATTGGCTTAGAGGTGGCATTGGTATGGCTTGGTTACTCTTTAATGTCATAAAGAAGATTCAATGCAATTCCCAGATCCAAACCCTCTAGAAAATACCTAATAGTGTGATAACATAGCAAATAACTATGAATCCAAACAGTCACATTAAATGGCAAGAAACACATGGTAAGCGTAGTAGGAGTCAAAGAGATGAGGCTTATTCTTAAGTAATGAGAAAATATTTCTTTCTTTTCAGCTTCTAATTGGGGATCACCACATAGTGTAGTGTGGGGTATGATTAGGACAATGATAAACATAAGGTTTGAGACCATAACCCAATATTCTAAAGAGATCAGATTCAAGTCCATAGGTAATAAGGCACTTTTTTATATATATAAAGAGGTATGGTGACAAGAATGGAAAAGTGAGATGAAGGTTGTAAGCAAAGAATTCACAAGATTTGGTGATAGGCTAGTTGTAAAAGTCAGAGTAAAGGGCACAGTTGGTGGTGGCCTGAAATGTTTAGTCAGGGTAAATGGGAGAACAAGAAAGCCATTAATCAACTAAGGAGAGAAACTGAGGTGTTTAGAGAAGATAATCATTTTGATTTGGGACATGATGAGCTCAGGCTGATGGGGATAGAGCTACACAGAACTTTTCAGAGTGATGCTACAAGCATAGATACAGAATTCTAGAGAAATCTGGACTTGGAGATATATATTCATGAGTCACTATAGTAATAATGATCACTGAAGCCACAGGAACAGGTAATATCTGTGAGGAAATGCAATCAAGAAGTGAATAAAGGTAGCCCCCAAAGCATCTCCACGAAAAGTCTCAGAGAATATGAAGTCAAGGAGGGAGGAGGGGAGCAGATGAGGGGGTTCTGTTTGGAGTCAAAAGTTCTCTAGATTTTCTAGGCACAAGTATTTCTCAGACTTCAAGTTGTGACCTAGTAGTTGATAGTAAAATCAATTTAATAGGTTTTGCCTAACTTGTTAATGAAACTGTATCAGCAGGAATAGACTATATCAGAGTTGTTTCCTATAGCGAAGGTCAGCTGTGATTGGAAAAACTTTTCTTTCAATGCACATACACACATGCGTGTATATTGAGAATGCAATATAAATGTTTTCCCTTAAAAAAAAGCTTATAAAAATGTTGTCTAATGTATAGTATCATCTGAACAAGAACAAATGCCTGGAGTCAACTAATGAACTGATGGACAAATATAAAGTATTTGATCTCCCACAGGGTGCCAGGATCCAGGCACCAAGTCGCTCATGTGAACGTCACACAGTGTCTCTATTTTTGGTCTGTTTGGTGGGCAAATGTCTGGAGTTCTGGTCCACGGAATGAGCATGTCTCTATGCTTCTCTCCTGCTCTCCTGGTGGAACTAAGATTGTGAAACCTATCACAAATGAGGTTAACTGCTTTGTCTATACATACAAAAAAAAAAAAAAAAGCAAAACTTTAAGCACCCAAAGTCTAAATGAGTAAGATAATAATACTCAGTTACTTCTACTCCAAGAATAAATGAAAAAGCAGAGATTAAATTAAGTAAAATTAAATTAAAATCTGCCATGGTTCCTGAAACATAATGTGAACTTGAATGGCATCACTGAAAGAACTGTGGAAGCAAAGGTTCATCTCTTATATGTTTGCAGATGGTTAGCCTGCTGGGTTGTCATCTGCCAGTCAGGAGAGGTCACTGGAGAAAAATGAGTCCCCATCTCCAGTACATGGAGAAACAAAATGACCAAATTATCTCTTGAAAGTAAAATATTCTATGATTCAGATGACCTAGATCTAGAAACTGCCCCCTGCCATTGTTTATCTACATTGTTGTATAATAAATTACCACAAACTTAGCAGCTTCAAATAGCACTCATCTATTATCTTACAGTTTCCATGGAACAAAAATCCATGGCTTAGCTAAGGTCTCTGTTTATGCAGTCAGATGGAAACTCAGCCAGGGCTGAGTCTGCAGCTAAAGGTGCTGGTGGGGAAGGGTCTGCTTCCCCACTCAGACAAGCTATTGACAGTACCATTTCATTGTTGCAGTAGCACTAAGGCCCTGGTATCTTGCTGTCTGTTGGCTGAAGATGATTATCAGTTTCTTGAGGCTACCTGCAATTCCTAGAGGCTGCTCACTGCTCCTTGCAATGTGGGCTTCCCCAACATGACTACTTTCTTCATCAAAAGGGAAAGTTACCACAGTGAGTATGTAAACAAGACAGAGTCTTATATAATATAACATAATCATAGGACAAACATGCCCTCACTTTGTCATATTCAATTGATTAGAAGCAAGTCCCAGGTCTCACTTACACTCAATGGGATCAGAATATACAAAAGCTTAAATACCAGGAGGTGGGGATCATGGGGTGGAGAGTATCTTCAGTTCTACACACCACACAAAACTTCTTGCAATTTTTAGCATTCAGATACCAGGATCCTAATATTCTCCTTATCAAGATATGACCTTCCCCAGTCCTCCCCTTTCTAAAGAATGGTTTCTGAGAAACCAAACATGGCATCCTCCTCACCTAGTCTGTCCTTATCACGTACATCTGGGCACACTCTCAGACTCCCCCATTTGAATGTCTAGAATACTCTTGTCCATTCCTTCTGATCTCTGCTGTTTCCACCCTAGTGCAAGTGCATGGAGGTCTGGGACCTCACTGAAAAGTGTAATTTCTAAAGTTTCTAGAGTTATTAGCCCTTGGTTGAAATTTACAGTTTAATTTCCTGCATAATAAATGCAAATGAGCTACATGATCATTTTAGACATATTAGAAAATATAGTTAAGCATAAAAAATGGAGTAAATGAAAATCACCTGAATATCCCTCCCCTACTACTGCCATAGCCCCAGAACAAATCTAACCATATCTGTTCTAGGCTCCTTTCAAATTGTTCTTCAAGCTGCAACCAGAGTGATCTTCTCAAGAATATCTGGTTAGGGCACCCTCACATTGCTACCCCACACCCAATCTTGCTCTTGGCTAAAAAT